TCCAGGCTTGAAAACTATAGCGCATAGACGCAGTGCATGCTGTATATAAATCCAGCTGTGGGTTGTTGTTGTTGTTGTTAGGTGCTGTCAAGTCGGCCCTGACCCATAGCGAGCCTGTGTACAACAGAACGAAACAGTGCCCGGTCCTGTGGCAGCCTCACAATCCTTGCTATACCTCAGCCCATCGTTGCAGCCACTGTGTCAGTCCATCTCGTTGAGGGCCTTCCCCTCTTTTTATGACCCTCCACTTTACCAAGCATGATATCCTTCTCTAGGGAATGGTCCTTTCTGACAACATGACCAAAGTAGGGGAGATGAAATCCGGCCATTCTCGCTTCCAAGTAGCCTTCCGGCTGCACTTCCTCCAGGATAGATGTGTTCATTCTTTTGGCAGTCCATGGTACTTTCAGTATTTTTCGCCAACACCACAACTCAAAAGCATCACCTCTTCTTTGGTCTTCCTTGTTCATTGTCCAGCTCTCATATGCATATGAGGCGATGGAAAATACCATGGCTTGGGTTAGGCGCACCTTAGTCTTCAAGCATAGTTTAAAGAAAATTAAGTGTCTGAAAGCACAGAGCATGTTGGGATGTGATAATTTGCATTATGAAAGAATTTATAATAAAGATGCTTCAAATAGTACGTCTTCATAGTATATCTCAATTAGCAGGTATTTTTGAGTGCCTCCTATGCTGGACAGGAGCCCTGGTGGCGTAATGGTTAAGAGCTCAGGTCAACGGTTCAAACGCACCAGCCATTCCGAGGGAGAAAAGAGCTAGTCTGCTCCTATGAAGATTACAGCCTAGGAAACCCTATGGAGCCATTCTACTCTGTCATATGGGTTGTGACAACTCAGAATCAACTTGATAGCAAACAACCACAACAACCTGTGCTGGACAGTGGAAGGGATAATGGGGTGTGTGTGTGTGTGTGTGTGTGTGTAAGTGGTTTTGGGCTTTCAGCGTAACAAGGTAGATGAGACTTGCATACAAATAATGTAGTACACTGACGAATGCCTTGTGAGTGGGAAGTGGAAGGCTGGAGGGGTTCCAAGGAGGGAAAGGTCACTTCAGGCTGGATGAACCGTTATGATTATGTGGACAAGGCTCTACGTTAGAGAACTGAAAAGACTAACTGAGTTTGTTGAGTTTAGTAATTAAGGCAAAAGTGAAGAGGTGGGTAAATTGTCAGGCCATTAGCACCAGAAAAAGGAGTTTAAACTTTATTCAGTAAGTACTG